CTCAACATTAACGGACTTAACTCTCCAATTAAACGACATAGACTCTCTTCTTGGATTAAAAAGCAACATCCTTCTATTTGCTTCTTTTAGGAGTCACATCTTGCCCGTAAAAACAAACACATTTTCAATGTGAAAGGTTGAAACAAAATCTACCAAGCAAATGGCCCCCATAACCAGGCGGGAGTTGCAATCCTAATACCAGATAAAATAGACTTCAAATTAAAATTAGTGAGAAAACATAAAGAAGGTCGCCACATACTCATTAAGGGATCTCTCCTTCAGGAGGATATTACAATTCTAAATATCTATTCGCCAAACAACGGAGCACCCAAATTTATCCAAGAAACACTACTTTCCCTCAAATCCCACATAGATCTAAAGACACAGGCCGAAATTTTCTTAATAGTGACCCAGAAGCACAACAAATCTAAGAAGGGTTGAACAAATAGGATTGCATGAAATTGCAAAGCTTCTGCATGGCAAAGGACATAACTAGCAAGATCAGTAGAAAGCCCACGGATTGGGAGAAGGTCTTCACTAGCCATATAACAGACAAGGGTCTCATATCTAAAATATACCTGCAACTCAAAAAATTAAACCCCCCAACAACAAACCTTCAAAGAAAAAACTGCCCAATAAATAATTGGGCTAAAGACATAAAGAGAAACTGCTCTGAATAGGAACGAAGGATGGCCAATAGACACATGAAGAAATGCTCAACCTCCCTAGCAATAAAAGAAATGCAAATTAAAACAGCATTGAGATACCACCTCACCCCAGTTAGAATGGCTAGAATGAAGAACTCTAATAACAACAGATGCTGGATGGCATGTGGACAGAAGGGAACCTTAATGCATTTTTGGTGGGAGTGTAAACTTGTACAACCACTTTGGGAAGTAGTATGGAGGTTCCTCAAAAGACTCCACATAGAGCTCCCCTATAACCCAGCAATCCCACTATGGGGCATTTAACCAAATGTTCACAAACAAAACTACAAGAAAGTTACCAACACAGCTATGTTTATTGCAGCCTTATTTACCATAGCTAAGATATGGAACCAACCCAGATGCCCCTCAGTAGATGAATGGATCAAGAAAATGTGGTATATATACACAATGGAATTCTATGCCTCCATCAGAAAGAATGACATTGCCCCATTTGTTAGGAAATGGAAAGACTTGGGAAAAATTATATTAAGTGAAGTAAGCCAGGCCCAAAGACACTTAGGTCCCATGGCTTCCCCTATTTGTAATAACTTGTATAAGTCTGAGTCAAGCAGAAAAGGTCAGATAAGCTGATGTTAGGGAAATGAACCCTATGATATTTATTCAAATGATTTTTTTCTTTCATGCAATTGTTTCTAACACATTTATAAGATGATTTCTTTGTTGCTTTACATGTGCCTCCACCACTGAATAACCCCTGCTTTCCCTGTATTTGATGTTATCATTTGTGGAGGGGAAGGGAAAAAACAAATCGTTTAAATAGGTGGACCCATTGCAACGAGACATACAAGTCATTATGTCAAAAACGAACTTTACAACTTTGGTGGGGGGGATGAGGGTTGGGTGGTGGGACGGGGGGAGAATGGGAGGGGAAGGGGAAACAAAGGAGGAGGCTACAATGCTTTATCAGAAATGTACTCATTGTCTTGCCCATGTAATTGTAACCCCTCTGTACAGTATTTTCACAATAAAAAAGTGGTCTAATTTGGAAAATGTTCCATGTAATGGTGAGAAAAAATGTATTCTGGTGCTGCTGGGTGAAATATTCAGTAGTTTTCTGTTAAATCTAGCTGATCTAGGCAGTTCTTTTGATCTGCAGTTTCTCTGTTGAGTTTTTTCGAGTTGATCTATATATTGTGGATAGTGGTCTTTTAAAGTCCCCAACAATTCTTATCTTTGGATCTATTTGAGATTTTGGGGAAAGTAGTATCTGTTGGATAAATTTCGGTGATCCATTGTTTGGCGAATAGTATTTAGTATTGCAATATCCTCCTGAAAGAAAGATCTCTTAATTCGTATGTAGTGAACTTCTTTATCTCTTCTCACTAATTTTAATTTGAAGTCTATTTTATCTGATGTTATGATTGCAATTCCTGTCTGTTTATACGGGCCATTTGCTTGGTAGATTTTGTTCCAGACTTTCATGTTCAAAGTGTATTTGTTTTTATGAGCAAGGTGTGATTCCTGAAGGCAGCAGATAGAAGGATGTTGCTTTTTAATCCAACTAGACAGTGTATGTCGCTTAATTGGAGAGTTAAATCCGTTAATATTGAGAGAAAGGACTGAGAAGTGTTTGGTAGTTTCTGCCATTTTATCCGCCTTCTTGGGGGCTGCCTCAACTTGGTTCTTCCTATGGTTTTTGGATTCTCAGTTTGGGTGCCATTTCTTTGTCTTTATTGTGATCTTGTCCGTTCTGTCTGTGTAGGACATCTTTAAGTATCTTTTGTAGGACCGGTTTGGTGGAGATATATATATTTTCAGTTTTTCTTTTCTATGGAAGATTTTTATTTCACCTTCGGTTATGAAGGAGAATTTAGCTGTTTACAGTATTCTTGGTTCATACTTTGTCTTTAGGTCATGGCATGCATCATTCCAGGCTCTTCTTGCTTTAATTTACTCTGATGAAAAAAATGAAGTTATTCTAATTGTTTTCCCTTCATAGATGATTGATCTTTTCTCATTGACAGCTTTAAGGATCTTTTCCTTGGTCTGAATTGATCTTGTGCATATTATAATGTGACGGTGGGATGTCCTGCTCTCGTCTGGTCAATTTGGGGTTCTAAACGTTTCTTGTATCTGAATAGGCCTATCCTTTTGCATGTTTGGGAATTTCTCTGCTAGGATCCTGGTAAACAAATTTCCTAGACCATTATCTTCTGTTTCTAGGTGCTCCTCTACACCCATTATTCTCAGATTAGGCTTTCTGATGGTGTCTTCCAATTGCTGAATATATCTATCATTTTTCTGGATTTGTCATGGATAGTTGTACATTGTTTCTGTATAATATCTAGGCTGTCTTCATTTACCGAGATTCGATCTTCTGCATGGTCTAACCTACTGTCAAGACTTTCTTCTTTGTTTTTTATTCATTTTCCTTCTAATTGTTTGGTTTTGATTACTTCAAATTCTTTGTTGGAGCTTTGTTTTAGATCTTGAATGGACTTCTTTACTTCCTTAATTTGGTGTTCAGTTCTTATTCTCAAATCACTTAGTTGTTTGGTTATGGTTTCCTTATACTCCCATTCCTTCTGTCGGGTTCCATTCAGCATTCCCTTTGTGGTCTCCCTGAATTCTTTCAACTGTCTGTTTATGGATTCCATGAATGCCTCTATTGAACTTTGTTTATTCTCGTCCCTCCCTTGCAATTCCAGTGCTACTCTTTGATTAGCTTCCTCATTTTCATGCAATACCTGTAGTTCTCTTTGACTGTTCTCAGCTTGTTCACGCAATTCCTGACATTCTCTTTGTCTGTTTTCAGCCTGCTCATGCAATTCCTATAATTCTATGATGGTTCTCAGCCTGCTCACACAATTCCTTTATTTCTCTTTGAGTGTTCTCAACCTATTCATGCATTTCTGTATCAATCTTTGAGTAGCTTCCTCATGCTCATGAGATTACTGTATTGATCTTTGGTTTGCTTCCTCTATCTCCCTATCATGTTCACACTGAGTCCTTTGCAGGTTTTCTATCTGTTCATTCACCATGTTTCCAAGTAATATTTATTGAGCTTTTGGGGAACTCTCCTCTGGAATACTGGTTATCATGAGTGGGAGTTGAGATACCAGGACTTTCATTTTTCTTGTGTTTTTCTGGCCTGTTCTGCCCATTTGATATGAAAGTTTTCTGCTAGAATACTTTTGAAGGCATGCATCAACCAAAGTCCTGCAGTTGCACAGGCAAAAGGACACAGATATAATCTAGTTCAACAGATACAATCTATTCAACATCAAACAACTATGGATTAATGGGCTAACAACAGCAAGGACGAATTTGGCAAACCAGAAATTATTATATTTAGGGACAAATGTGAGGAAAAATAGGATTAGAAGAATGTAGAGAGGTAAAAGGAGAGTGAATTTAACCAAGTTCTAATCTCAAAGAGGGAAATGGATTGGACAGAATAGTAGGAGAGAGAAAAAAAGACAAGAAAAAATGGGAAAAACAAATATTTAAGTTTAATAAATGAATCTTAAAAATCATCTAAGTTTAAGGTGATATTGAGAGAAGAAAAAGATACGATGAGAGGAGGGGAGGGGTAGAAAGGAGACATGAAAAACTAAAAAATAAAAATTCTCAAAAATTATATAGGTCTAAAGAGATAATACTGCTATTACAGAATTTAAGGCTAAGAAGTTTTGTTTTGAGTAATAAAATTCTTGATTAATGTGTATACAATGGGGGTAAGGTCTAATATTTGACAATGGGCATATATCTGAAGATGAGCAGAACAGCAAATAAGTCACACACAAAAACAAGGAAACAGAAGAAAAATGAAAAGAATGAAAAAGAAAAAAAAAGATAAAAAGACCAAAAGGTCAGTAGAGATTTAAACAAAGCACACTCACACACACATACACCTAAAATAAAAATTAGGAGGGGAGAAAAAAAATGAATAGAAAACAATTTTTTTAAAAAATTAAAAATTAAAAAAGGTACCAAAAAGAGTTCTTTTTTTTTGCGGGGGGGGGGGGGGGAAGTAGATGGGAAGAACCTGTATCACCCTGTGTCTGTAACCAGTCTCTTGGTGGAGTCTTTAGTCTGCTTGTGGTGTTTGGTTTGCCTGTGGCTTGATTGGTTTCTTAAGTCAATTTGTTGGAGCAGGCAGAAAAATGATCAGGATTTTGTGATCCTCCTCCCAGTATAGTTCAATGAGAGGGAGATCTGCTTTGAGTTTCACAAAAGAGGGAGATGGCTGTTTCCTCTAATTTGAAGATGCTGTGATGAGGCTATGTTCTGGGTAGAATTGAGGCCTTTTAGCAAATTGCAGCTTTTCCCTGAGGGGTAACTTCTGAGACACTCACAGAGCCCAGCCTAGAGCCATTATCAGGGTTTATGTTTACTGAATTTCACTTGATTGTCTAGGCTGCTGTAGGGAGGGGCAGCCTCTGGCTCTGTTTACCCAGTGAAGAAAGTCACTCCCCTCGGGGCAGAGCTTTGTCTGCCTGGGCTGGGTGATTTTTCCCAGGGAGGAGCTGAGCCTGGCAGGTCAGGTCAGGTGCCTGAGACCTCCTAAATGACTCTTTTGTTTTTTTTTCCAAGGCCTGAGCTGGAGCTTGCTGCTCAACTGGTCCTTTTCAATATCAAATATGGAGGTCTCCGGGGGTGAGGATGGTAAGGGTGGCCTTCCCTCCTCTGTTCCCTAAGAAGGAGTGAGTATGTCAGGATTCTACTCACGCTGGAGTCTTGGTTCCCGGGTTGTCTCTGGTCTGTGATATGCAGGATGAAGATATCTGCTACTTATCAGTTCTTTCTGGTTTTAAGTAGAATCCGGTCACCTGCTGTGTCTGGCACCATTGTCCCAGATTCTGTGTTGTTCTTTTGGCGGCTAGGCTGCTGCCGTTGCCGCCACCACCACAGCTGCAGCTAATGGCAAGTGCTCAGATCTGTCTCCTTGTCTGGATTTTCCCTCTCTGCCCAAACTGTACTGTGATGGCACACTTGGTCATTCTCTGACCTAGGACTCTTCAGTGGAACACTACAACTATTTTCTATGTGAGAGCTTGTTTAGCCTCTAGCTTCTCCTCCTCCATCCTCCCCTAAAGTAATCTGTTGTTGCTTTTGAAAAACTGGTGACAGTTTCTCATGCCTGTAATCATAACAACTCAGGTGGCTGAGATCTGATAATCGAGGATTAATAACAGCCTGGATAAGAAGGTCTGTGAGACTATTATCTCATTAACTGGTTACCAAGAAACTAAAAGGGCCCTGTGGGCCAAACTAGTAGAGTGATAGCCTTGAGCACAAGAGAATAGGGATTTCAATCAGGCCCTCAGTTCAAGCTTCTCATATTAAAAAATGTTAAAAACAATTTGCCATCATTTGTAATTTCAGCATCCTCAAGTAGTGGTTTATTTAAAGCCAATTTGCATCTCAGTTTGCACGTATTTGGGTGGGGGAACTAAACTTATATAACATTTAAAAGAAAATAAATGAGCACAAGGGTACAGGTGGCTCACGCCTGTAATCCTACCTTCTCAGGAGGCTGAGAAATGAGGATGTTGGTTCAAAGCCAGTCTTGGGCAGAAAAGTTCCCATGAGACTGCTATTTCCAATTAACCACTAAAAAACAAGAAATGGCACTATGGTTTAATCTTGTATGGCAGAGTGCTAAACTTGAGCAAAGAAGCTCTGGGACAGCACCCATGCCCTGTGTTCAAGCCTATGTCTGCAGGAAAAAATAAAGATTTCAGGGTTGGGAAGGTGGCTAAGTGGTAGAGTGCTTGCCTTGCATGTATGAGCCTTTGGGTTCGATTTCTCAGTACCACATAAGCAGAAAAGCCAGAAGTGGCACTGTGGTTCAAGTGGTAAAGTGATATCCTTGAGGTGAAGAGCTGAGGGACAGTGCCCAGGCCCAGAGTTCAGGACCCATCATCGACAAAAAACAAACAAAAAAAAGAGTTCAAACAAATGATGTGCACAATAGACTATACACTAAAGATGAAAGATTAAATTAATACATTAATAATTAAAATGATGAACATTGTTCCAATTTTGTAGGTGGTGAATGTAGCAGAAAAAGTGATAAGATATAATGATTCATTTCTAACAACTTTTCCATTTTTCAAACTCATTTACTACTTTTAAACTAAAGAGGCACGTAAGTATCACTTTACAGAAAAACAAAACTGTACATGTATTTTAGCCTGAATTCCACATTTTATAATTTGCCTTTTAGATACCTTTATTTAATACTTCACATCTTTCCAGTATTTGGTTATATCAAAATTCCTCCCTTCCTTCTTTTCTTCCTTCCATTCCTTCATATTCTTTCCTCCTTTCAATCTTAGCAATTAAACTCAGGGCTTCATGAATTTTAGGTAGGTGCTCTACAAAGTGAGCCACACACCTGCTCTTTTCGCTTTAGTCACTTTTGTTTTTGTTGGTCATGTGGTTTGAACTCTGAACCTGTACACTGTCCCTGCACTCTTCAGCTCAATGCGAGTGCTCTACTGTTTCAGCCACAGTGCCACTTCTAGTTTTCTAGTGGATTATTGAGATAGGAGTCTCACACACTTTCCTGCCTAGATTTGCTTTGAACTGGGATCTTCAGGTCTCAGCCTCCTGAGTAGCTAAGATTACAGGCATGAGCCACCTGTGCTCAGCGCTGCTGTAGCCATTTTTCTGACAGGGTTTTCTGTTTATGACCAGGCCAGCATGGATCACAATCCCTCGATGACAGGGAGGGTTGTGTGTAGCAAGTCAGACACAGTGGGGAAACAACTTTCTCTGCCCATCACAGGGAGAATTTTGGAGGGTTGCATTAGAAATTTCTAGAAGTGGGTTGTGAAGAGAATTCTGCTTCCAGGAGTCTCTTTCCACTTCCCAGCATTCTAGTCCTGCCACAAAGGGTCTATGGTAGAAGGCTCAGGATGGAGAGGGCAGACTCTCATTTTCCTTGTCACCAATCTGCCCACAGCATCAATTGTTCCATCTTAACTATTTGGATGGACTTCTACCCTGATGATTTTTGTGAGCATAAGAAAGTTGACATTCTGAAAAAACTTACACAGTATGACAAGCTCAACATACCCTCTTCAGACTTGCTGTTCTGCTTACATATTCTTCTGGACCAGCTGGAGCAATGCATGACCCGTGAGACCAAGGAAAAGAGTAAATAGTCCTTGTTTAGATGCCTTAGAGCTTTTGAGTAGGGATGGAATCTAGGTCTCAAGGGATGGGCCTGCTTTGCCAAGAGCCCTTTGTACTACCCAGCTTGGCAAAATGTCCTTTTATGGATGTTCTATGCCGGGTAATGCCTGTTCCCTTTTTAAAAGAACTTGGACATAACCACTCATTAGAACCACCCTACCTTCTCATCAGTGTTCAGCCCAAACTCAAGTTCTACAGCTTCTCCTACTAAATCCTCATAGAAGTTTAGTCACACTTTAACTTCTAGAGTCTAATCTAAGACTCCTGTACCTATTTACATTCTTATGTTTGTGTCACTGTACAGAACTTCCTGCTGAACTCCAGATAAAACCCATCAGTGATGTCGCCTATTGTGACTGATGGAGATTGGAAGCCAAAACTGGACTCCAGAAAGCATGTGAACATAGAGGCTTTTTTCAATGTGTAGAAAGGCCCAACTAGGTTTTGAGTCCTGTGGACATCCCACTGGTTCTGAACTCCACATGTGATGTAGGTGTACCTGCACATACCACCAAGGAAGAAGATGATCCAGAATGTCTTCCATTGATGTTCACAATTCACCTAGATCACATCCAAACCAGTAAAAAATGTTTTGGTCCTGGAGTGCAGGGTAAATATGTGCTAATGGAAAATGACCCCAGTCTATGTTCAAGAAAATCAATAAGTTAGGTCCAAAGTCTAGATTCAGTTGAGGAAAGGGAATCTGTCCTCACAGAATATCCAGACCAATCTGTCCTTCTGCTGGGGATCCAATTTCCAATTGAGAAATAAGATCTGTCCCTCCATAGACTCGGGAAGAAAATACTGCCTTTAATGAGGAAGTAGATCCTTTTGAGGACTCTGAGGCAGAATTTGTGTCTGAAGCCAACTTAGAAGACAATCCAGATTTAGAGATTGCTTCCCCCCTTCTTTAGAAAATCGTTATATTTCTTTTTGGTCCTGATTGTTGTAAAATGATCATTCTAGTTATTTTTCTAACGTTATTAAAATGTCAGTGTTTATGTTATATTATATAATTCATGAGCCTTAAATGTGTTTTTTTTTCAACCTACTATGTAAAGCACCATGCACATGTGTTCTGTGTGTGGGAAAACAGAGTGACAGTGGGATGAACAAGAGAGCCTATTGGATATAAAGGGAATGGTTAAATGCACAGGGAGTTGCAAGGAAGCCAGGCCATGCCTGCATGGGGTGATATGGTGGCTAAAAAAGATCTAGGACATACCAGATCAGATGACCTAGAAAGCTGTTCTGTCAATTGGGACAAATGCCACAATACTTATAGTGGTATGTGGGACTTTCTTCCAACAGTGAGTTCAAGTCTGTATACATATTCATTGTGCTTTGGGAAATATTGAAGAAAAATTTGGCTCCATTAACATAAAAATTCTACTTAGGGCTGAATATATTTGACAAAATACATAAGAAATATCGACACTGGAAAGTATAAGCCATCATCAATAGAAGAAAGAAGGCTTATATAGATCGACAAACACAAAATCAGGGAGCAATTAAATCAGTTATATGGAAATACATGTTATATTCATTACATTTTATATAGTATATTATATGATATGTAAGATCAAATATGATTTTTCATACTACAAGGGCTTTTAATTTTTTCAATCTTAAGTATTTTTTCACATAATATTAGTGTAAAATATTATTGGGGAAAGTGGTAATATAACTTTGATTATAATTATATGAATATATATTTTTGTGTTTCTAGATATAACACTGATTATAAATAGATGGATAAATAAAAACATATATTTGTATATCTGTCTATGAGGTGAATATAATGAAACAGGCTACACGATGTATAAAAAGGCAGTTATGAGTTAGTATATGAGACTCAGGCCTGTAATCCTAGTGATGTGGGAAGCTGGGCTCTGAGTTTTAGTTTCTCTTACCCCCATGCCATTAGATTTTCAGAGAAGACCTGGTCCCTCGAGTGTAGCCAAGCGACACGTATGCAGTAGGATCACATTCTGTGACCCCAGAGGAAAGTCAGTAGAAGTCAGGACAAGCCTCTTATGCTATGACAGTCTACTCAGTTCCTGTGACAAGATGGCCATCTGTAGAACATCAGATGGAAAGTTGGCATTCCCTCCCAAAATGTTTTTGACTATCCTGAATTAAACCTTATTTCCCTTCCCAAGTTGCAAACACATAGAAATATGCCAAGGGCTCAAGAGAGATGGACAAAGACTTACAAATACATAAAATTATATACTTTTTTTTGGGTCCGGTTGTCAGCTTGAACTCTGGGCCTGGGTGCTATCCATCAGCTCTTCAGCTCAAGGCTAGCGCTCTACCACTTGAGCCACAGGGCCACTTCCAGCTTATTTTCTTTTTGCTTATGTGGTTCTGAGGAATCGAACTCACAGCCTCATGCATGCAAGGCAAGCACTCTACCACTAACCACCTTCCCAGCCCCAAAATTATATACTTTGTTTCAGTAATTCAATGACAAATCATCAAAGGCATATCTTGAATTTTCTTTTTTTAATCGAAATGGGAATATACACTGAGTGCATTAGGGAGTAAGTGACAGTTAGGATGCTGAGTTGTGGAATTGACTCCTGGGCATGGGAGACACTTGCCTTGGAGAACTTGTGTGGAGATGCGTCTCCGCACACAGTTTCACAAAACAATGCCCATTACTTGTATGATGTCATAGCCATCTTTCCATAGCAGCAAATAGGTGTCAGGCACTGATCTTGCTCTGAGGCGGACTCAGCAACACAGAAAGGCACAAAGAATGAGAGGGAATGACTGCTAGCCACCAGACGTCAGCTTCAAGAGCTGTCTTGACCAGAAGCTAAGATAAATTGAGCTGGAGAAGGCTGATCCCTATGCAAGGCTCCTGAGCACTAAGGACCAGGCACTATTATAGGTGTTGGAGAAACAAGTGAATGTGGCTCTCTCCTCATCAATTTCATGCTGAAAAGAAAACCAGAAATCATAATGATAATTTTTATAAATCAGAGACATGACATTGGTAGTTTTGTGGCAACAACTTCACAGCGGTTATGTGAGGAGATATTCCTGAGGAGGAGATAGTTAACCTGAGAGCCATCATCCATGCAATTAACTAGAAGCAGGTACTCCAGGCAGTAAGAGCAGCAAGTACATCCCTCATTGATGGGAAAGGATGTAACTTGCTTCAGAAAAGGAATACATCACTGACGTGCTTGCTTGTGAAGTAAGAATAAAAAGGTACAATGAAGAAAAAAAGATCACACATGAAGATCTGAATAAATTATATAGATATTGGATGCTGTGAGTTACAAGAAGAAAAATTCTGATGTTATTCTAAATCTGAAATAACCCACTGGAACCAAAATGCTCACATAGTACCTAGACACATCTGATTCACCTAGAGAATACTTTTAAAATGTGATTCTAGCCAGGTTCTGGTGGCTCACAACTGGAATGCGAGCTACTCAGGAGGCCGATACCTGAGGATCACGTTTGAAGCAAGCCCAAAGAGGAAATTTGGAAAGACTCATCTCCAATTAACCACCAAAATTATGGACTTGAAGCTGTGGTTCAACTGGTAGAGCACTAGCCTTGAGAAAAAATTAAAGGACAGCACCCAGGCTCTAGGTTCAAATCCCTGGACTTCACAAAACAAAAAGTCAACAAATAAAATTTGGTGCTCAGTCGATCATCACTTAGCATTCTGCTTCAATGTATTTAGTATGAGCCTAGGAAGTTACATCTTTAGCAAATGCTCTCCCCTCATATTCTGCTTCATTACCAGTATTCAAACCCCTGGCATTACCAAAGTCTCCTCCCAGTTAGCATAGCAGTCTACCACTGGGAATTAATAGATATATTTTTATTAATCATAATCTAGCCACACACATCAAATGAGTAGTAGCCACATTCCACTATTCTGAATGTTTTTTCTCCCCCTTTGAGTTAATAAACCTTACCATTAAAAACTATAGAATACTTATTAAATTAAGTCAACAGTCATCATTCTTCCACCCAATCTTGTAACCTAATTTATGTGGTTTCTTTTGTTTCTTTGATGTTGGTGCCCTGTATCTTGTATGTACATTTCTCTAGCTTTGGGAGGTGAAGGGAAAAAACCAAATGCTTAACTAGGGATACAGTTGGACCCATTTTAACAATGAGATCAAGACACTATGTTCAAAAACGAAGTTTACAATTTAGGCAGGGAGTGGGAAGGAGGGATGGAAAGGAGTAGTTGTGGAGGTGGAAGGGTAGGGATGGTAGGGGAAAAACAAAGGAGGAAGTATCAATGCTTGAGAGGAAATGAACTCATTACCTACCTTATGTAACTGCCATCCCTTTGTACATTATTTTTACAAAAAAAACGTATTAAAAAAGATGAAAAGACCCAGAAATAAAACTACATACTTACAATCATCTGATATTCGACAAAAGAGTGAAAGATGTAATGTGGAAAAAACATAGCCTTGCCGGGTGACTGTGGCTCATGCCTTTAATCTAGCTAATCAGAAGGCTGAGATCTGAGAATGGTTGTTGAAAGCCAGCAGGGCCAGGGAAGTCGATGAGACTCTTAGCTCCAATAAACCACAAGAAAATGGGAAGTGGAACTGTGGTTCAAGTACTAGCCTGGAGATGAAATGCTGAGGGGTAGCTCCGAGGCCGAGAGTTCAAGCCCCATGACCGACACACACAGACACAGACACAGACACACAGACAGACAGACAGACAGACACACACACACACACACACACCCCACACATACACAGACATCATAGCCTCTTCAACTATTGGTGTTGGGAAAACTGGACATCAATAGCCAGAAAACTGGAAGTGGATCTCTGCTTGCACTAACATCAACTCAAAATGGATTAACTACATTAAAATCAGCCAAACTACTCTAAGACAGAAAAAGGGTGACATTAGAACTTATAGGTACTGAGGTGGAAGCTGGGCAGCTGCACGCCGAGCACCGGTAGTTGCGCTCCAGATCCTGCAATCTCACACTGCGTGCCTCGACCCAGTAACTGCTTACTCCAGTTGGCCCCTGCAATGGGCGCCATGCTTCCTGCGGCGCCCGGCGCTCAGGGCAGCTCTACTCACCGCCCTGGCCCTGCTCCTCAGGCCACCGGTGACGAGGGTCCCATCTTGCAATGCGAGCACTGTGATGGGATCGCGCTGGCCCAGTGCGAGCCTCTGCCTCCAGTGCCTGCGTGTGCCGAGCTGGTGCGTGAGCCAGGCTGTGGCAGCTGCCTGACATGTGCTCTGCGGGAGGGCCAGCCTTGAGGTGTCTACACAGAACTCTGCAGCTAGGGGCTCAGCTGCCAGCTGCCACCAACCGAGCCACGCCCACTGCAGGCGCTGCTGGATGGCCGCGGGTTCTGCGCCAATGCCAGCGTCCTGGCCGGCTGAGCGCCTACCTGCTGCTGGCGCCCTCTGCCTCAGTGAGTCAGAGGAGGACCTAGGCATGGGGAGCTTGGAGAGCCATGCCCCTCCCAGCACACATAGGGTGCCTGACTCCAAGTTCCATTCCATTCACGCGAAGCTGGACACCATCAAGAAAGGTCACACAAAGGACAGCCAGCACTACAAAGTCGACTATGAGTCCCAGAGCACGGACACCCAGACCTTCTCCTCGGAGTCCAAACTGGAGATAGAATATGGTCCCTTCCTTAGAGAGATGCAAGACACCCTGAATCACCTGAAGTTCCCCAATGTGCTGAGTCCCAGGGGTGTGCACATCCCCAACTACGACAAGAAAGGATTTTATAAGAAGAAGCAGTGTCGCCCCTCCAAAGGCAGAAAGCGGGGCATCTGTTGGTGCGTGGACAAGTATGGTCAGCCCCTCCCAGGCTTCGACAGCAAGGGCACGGACGACTTGCACTGCCTCGGCATGCATAGCCAGTAGACCCCACTGCATCAGTTAAATTAGAGCTCCAATACGCCTTACTTTACACAAAAGACTGCCACGGACAGAACAGTACCTGCCTACAGCCTCCACTTACATTACTTTTTGTGATGACCTGGTTTTTTGTGTGTTTTTTAAAGAAAACCAAAGTTTAGACAGAGATTTTAGAAATATCTATTGTTCCTTTAAATGGTAAACTTGAGCATCTTTCCACTTTTCAGTAGTCAGAAAAGAAAATTAATTTCTCTGTTGCTTTCTGTAAAAATAACTGATTCTCCTGCCCAAAGCAGCGGACTTGATCCCCTTCTAGAAACCTCTCCACATCTGCCCATTGGAACAGCTGACCTTCTGCCTCCCTCACTTCAGTGGCTATTGTAGAAGACACCTCCTCGTTGCCCTCCACACTGCTCAGGCCTCATGGAGAACAGGAAGGTCAGAAACTCAAATCACCTGGACATCTCTACCATACATGAGACCCCTGGGCCTCCTGATACTATCTTTGATTCCAAGCCATGGACCCCTGGGCCGCAAAGCTTCTTCATTATCTGCAAGTGACTTGATCTGCTTGGAAAATACTGGAGAGATTGAGGTGGAATATAACACCAAGAAAGTTCTATAAAACTGACCCAAAATAGTTCTAGCACATTGTAAATGCAGATCTTTCTGACCTCCCTCCATTAGGCAGCTTTTCAAGGATGGAGCCCAGTGGAAGGCCCAGGGTGGCCTTGGTTGTGGTCCAGCAGGGCATGGGGGAGGCTGGGGGTGTACCCCACACCTCACAGGCCTCACCAGTAATGGATTAATCGCTCTGGAGACAACAACAACAACAACAAAATGTTTTCTAATTTAACTCCTAGTTTGGGGTTGAGGATAATAAACTGTTTAAAGGCAAAAGTTTATTTTCACCCCTCATCTTTATTCTTCACCTAACAAAACAATGGTGTTTAATGTTATCTAAACAGGAAAGATGAACAGCTTGTTGAGAGAGCCTCATAGGGCACTGGGAACATGTAGAGAATACCTTGTGTTTGTTGAACTTGGAATCCAACTCATACTTTATAATTCACACATATATGCAGAGAGAGAGAGATATGTTCTCAATGGTTAACATTGTATACAGCATAGCCCAACTATAATAGGATTCATACTAGATAATCCTAGATAGTGTTAATTACTAGAAGGTGTAACTATGGCTGTGATCAGGAGAGGACACTCAGTCCAGGCTGGGCTTTTCTCTCCCCAAGGCCAAACCCATGGCAGTGTTGGGTGTGTGGCGATTGTCCTGCCCTACACAGCAGAGAGCTCTCCTTAAGAACAAAAAGAGGTCTCAAGACAGTCTGCCTACCTATTACGAGCTTTCCTTTATTTTTTAAATTTTTTGGGGGGGAAAGTATTTTTGAAAAATTTTGTCTTGCGATGTATTTATAAAAGTAAATAAAGTTTTACCATCAAAATAATAATTAAAAAAATACTTTTAGGTACTGGCATGAACTTCCTGAATAGAATCCCAGAGGCATAACAGATAGGAAAGAGACCCAACAAATGGGACTACATCAAAGGAAAAAACCTACACAGGCTAGAGACATAGCCACTAAACTAAAAAGACAGCCAACAAATTGGGAAAAGATATTTACCTGCAATACATCAGACAAAGGGCTAATTTTCAAGTATACATGGATCTCAAGAAACTACCCCTCCCAAAACTAATAAACGAATCACCAAATGGGCAGAGGAGCTAAGGAGAGACTTCTCATAAGAAGAGGTAAGAATGGCAAAGAAACATATCAGGAAAGGTTCATCATCCCTGGCCATAAAGAAAATATAAATCAAAGTAATTCTGAGATACCATCTTATCCAAATATCTTGAATTAGACAACAAATATTGGGGGGGAAGTGGAGAAATTAGAAAATGGCAAGGACATTTGCACAACCATGTTCCTTGCTGCTCAATTCACAGTGACAAGAAATGTACACAACCCAGATGCCCCACAATAAATGAATGGAACCAATAATTATGCCATCTATATACAATGAAATTTTACAGAGCCATTAGAAAGGATAAAATAATGTCATTTGCAGGGAAATGGATGACACTAGAATAAATCATGTTAAGAAATTTAGCCAACATCAAATTGACAAATGGTACCTGTTCCCCTGATATATGGAAGAAAGGTTTAAAACACCATGGGATATGATATACTGTACAGGATTCTAGACATCATTTACAGTAAGAACAGAAGAGGAAGCATTTGGCGAAAATCACAAAGTTATAATACCCAAGCACCTTTTCTACATAATACTATATATATATATATATATATATATATATATATATATATATATATATATATATATTGAATTGCAATGATAAGGAAACAAAGGAACTTTTCTTAATTTGTCTTTTCATTTTCTAATGAGTCTGTATTCTTCACCTAATATACAGGGAAGATGGGGGAAGGGCACAGAATTAGTGGGAAGTGGGTGAAAAAAGGCAGCAGCAGAGCCCTCTGGCTCTACTGGACATTGATGAAAGTGAACCACGCAAGTCGAGGGTCAAGATGGGAGGGAGGGTATGGAAGAGAATGTGGGAACAGATGAGATTATGTAAAAGGAAGGAAATGTACTAGTTACCTGACATACAGAAAGGTAACCCTGCTCTATATAGCCGCTAAAACATTTTTTTTTGAAGAAGAGTGTTCCCAAATGAGAACATATGAGAATAAGAAAATACAGACCAGATAATTCTTTTTTATGTCCTTGGTACCTGATAGTTTCAATCAATAGCTATTGTCCTACCAACTGAGTCATACCTCTAAACCCAAAAGTCCTTACAATATTCAAATTTTTCATTGATTTCTTCATATTTTCTATTTACTTTTTCGTGTGTGTGTGTGTGTGTGTGTGTGTGTGTGTGTAAGAAATGGAGTGTGATCATAGGATCTAGGTGCTATCCCTGAGCTTCTTTTTTGCTCAAGAGTACACTCTACCACTTGAGACAAAGCTTCACTTCTGGATTTTCTTGAACAGTTTATGGGAGATAAAAGATTCACAGAGACGTTTTTGCACCACTAGATTCAAATCATCATCTTCAGGTCTCAGCCGCTGGATTAGGTAGTATTATAGGCATGAGTCAAGGCTTCTGGCTTATGAATTGTTGTCCCTTTTTTAAAAAGATGGTGCCAGTGGCTCATGCCTGTAATCGTAGCACCACAGGAAGCTGAGATCTGATAATTGAGGTTTAAAGACAACCTGGGTAAGAAAGTCTGTGAGACTATTATCTCATAAACTGGTTAGCAAGAAACCAGAAGGGGCACTGGCTCAAACTGGTAGAGTGATAGCCTTGAGCACAAAAAAACAAGGAATGCCCCCAGGCCCTGAGTTCAAGCCCCACATATAAAAATATGTAAAAAAAATTGCAATCACTTGTAATCTCAACATCTTCAATTGGTGGTGTATTTAAAGTTAATTTGCATCTCACTTCGTATGTATTTGAGGGGAAACTAAACATATAACATTTTTTTTAAAAAAAATGAGCAGCTGGGTTCAGGTGGCTCATGCCTGTAATCCTACCTTTTCAGGAGGCTGAGAAATGAATATGGTGGTTTAAAGACAACCTGGGCAGAAAAGTTCTCATGAGACTGCTATTTCCAATTAACCACTAAGTGGTTTAAACTGGTATGGTAGAGTACTAGCATTGAGCAAAGGAGTTCTGGGACAATACCCATGCCCTGTGTTCAAGTCCCATGTCTGAAGGACAAATAGAAATCAGGTCTAGGAAGTAGGCTCAGTGCTAGAGTGTTTGCCTTGCATGTGGAACCTTTGGGTTCAATTCCTCAGTACCACATAAGCAGAAAAAGCCAGAAGTGGCACTGTTGCTCAAGTGGTAGAGTGCAAGCCTTGAGGTGAGGAGCTACGGGACAGTGTCCAGGCCAGAGTTTAAGATCCATGATGGATAAAAAGCAAACAAACAAAAATAATTCAAACATTTAAATGATGTGCACAATAGACTATACACTAAAGATGAAAGATTAAATTAATGAATTAATAATTAAAGTGACCAACATTGTTTTGATTTTGTAAGTGGTGAATATAGCAGAAAAAGTGATAAGAAATAATGATTCATTTCTAACCACTCATATTGTTTTAAACTCATTTACTACTTTTAAACTAAAGGGGCACATAAGTATCATTTTACAAAAAAAAACAAAAGTTGTACATGTATTTCAGCCTGAATTCCACATTTTATAATTTTCCTTTTAGTAAATAATCAGTATCTTTTCATATAAAATACCTGTAATCCCTTTATTTAATACTTATCATTCTAGTATTTGATTATATCATAATTCCTCCCTTACTTCTTTTCTTCACATCCTTTCCTCCTTTCTATACTAGCAGTTAAATTAAGGGCTTCATGCACGTAAGGTAGGTCCTCTAAAAGGTGAGCCACTGCCTGCTCTTTTTGCTTTAGTCACTTTTTTTTTTTTTGGTCATGTGGCTTGAACTCTGGGCCTGGAGACTGTCCTTGCACTCTTCAGCTCAAGGCAAGTGCTCTACTGTTTGAGCCACAGTGCCACTTCTGATTTTCTGGTGGTTTAATGGAAATAATAGTCTCACAGATTTTCCTGCCTAGACTGGCTTTGAACTGTGATCTTCAGATCTCACGTCCTGAGCAGCTAAGATTACAGGCATGAGCCCCTGGCACCCAGCTCTGCTTTATACTTATTTTTTTTAGGGGGGGGCTGAACTCTGGGGCTGGCCACTGTCCCTCAGCTCTTCAGCTCAAGGCTAGCACTCTACCACTTGAGCCACAGTTCCACTTCCGGCTTTTTTTTTTATTCTGCTTATGTGGTGCTGAGGAATGGAACACAGGGCCTCATGCATGCAAGGCAAGCGCTCTACCACTGAGCCACCTTCCCAGCCCTGCTTTATCCATTTTTATGGCAGGGTTTTCTGTTTATGACCAGCCCAGCATGGTCCACAATCCTTCTTTCTACCTTTTCTGAGTAGATGAAATATAAAGCACAATGCATTGTGTTCAGATGTTGATTGAGATCCAATATTGTGAATGTTTCCCTGGGCTAGCCTCAAATCATAATCCTCTCTGTATCAGTCAAGACCTAATAGCCAGCATTACAACTATGAGCTACCATGTGTGGCTCAAATTTCTGACAACTAGAACATATGAACAAAGTTTTAATAATTTTAAATGTTGAATTTGAGGAAAATGAGTGCTTTTATTTGCCTAGTTTCAAATTTCACCAAAAAACACAAATATTAACTTTTGATTTCCTAGATTAAATAAGCAGATAAACTTTAAAAAGCAATTAACTATTTAAAGAAAATAGCTAGGACTGGAAATGTGGCTCAGTGGTAGAGCGCTTGCCTTGCATGCCTGAGGCCCTGGGTTCAATTCCTCAGTACCACATAAGCAAAAAGAAAAAAGCCAGAAGTGGCACTGTGGCTCAAGTGGCAGAGGGCTAGTCTTGAGCTGAAGGACTGAGGGACAGCGCCCAGGCCCAGAGTTCAGGCCTTACTATTGGACACCCCCCCCCAAAATAAAAGCTAAATAGTAATCATCCTTACCACTGTAACTTTGGACTTAACACCTTGTCAAACATTGTTTACATCATAGTCGGTTTTTATGGGCAGTATATTCCATAAACGGATCATGCCACCCCCAATGTCGATGGTCAAACAGCCTATATGCACAGGAGTGAAAGCCAGGCTGTAGGCCATCACACGATCCATG